TGGCGAACATGGAATCCCATCTCAGTTAGTTCTTCTTTAATGGCATCCAGCGATGTTGATGGGTGTAATCTCCTAGTCCCATATAACCCTGATCGCTCTCTCTCTTGGCCCATCTGATAAGTATGATAATCCGCATTAGTATCAGATAAATATTTTACAATTTTTCTGTACGTATCTGCAGTGTTAAACGTTAATTTCGTGTCATTAGTGCGGTTTTGGCATAAGTATTTACTTGATCTCACTATATTATTTATTTGTGGACACATTAATTGAATTTTTTAAATATTTTTAACGAATATTGACGGAGGCTTAGGTTCACTAGGGATCGGTGCTGCTTTTATTTGTTCATTCTGCGTGTTTGACAGCACTTGGAATGGATTAACTGTAAATAAGGGAGATTCTTCTAACGTACCTTGTATTGGTATACCTTGTGTTGACATATCTTGCGTTGATGTGCCGGGTTGATTTTCGACTTCTTCTACTGAACTGTCTGGTATTTTTTAGCTAGCGGGGTATTTTTTTTTTTTTTTGAGCGTCTTGCCATTTTCTTGGTTGGTGAACTCTTTGTGGTATCAAGACTCCTAGATCTTAAAGCTTGATTTTTACGTTTGGTCGCCATTAGAATGAGAAAATAACGCATCTCATGTTATTTTAATTAGAAGTAATTAGAAAAAAATGTCCATTGTCAATTACGTATATACTATTCGAGCTTGTAGAAGCCTAAGTAATATAAACCTGCTTCCGTCGAAGGGTAGCAACCCACTGGTGGGATTAACAAATGTATATGGCTACCTTGTTACCTATCACTAACCTCAGGTCTATTTACGCTGTTCACAATGCCTGGAAACTCAACGCAATCCGCTCTCCTTCAGCCTTCCAGTCCTTATTCCTGTTCTTTATCATATCTCCAACTTTTCATTGCGAAATTCCATATTCCCATCCTCCTGGAAAACTGAATTAGTCCGACCTTTGAATAAAATTTCTAACCCTACCACACTGCACGACTTTCGTCCTATTTCTCTCCTATCCAACCTTTCAAAGCCGTTAGAACACCTTGTCCAAAATCAATTCTCCAACTTCCTAGAGGAACGTTCCATTATCAACCCATTCCAATCTGACTTTTGACCTGGTTACTCAACGCAATCCGCTCTCCTTAAAATAACCTATGACCTGCAAAACTCCATTGAACACCAAAACCTTACTATCCTCATCCTTTTAGATTTTTCCAAAGCGTTTGACACAGTTGACCATAACATCCTCCTTACTAAATTATACAATCTTCCTCTATCCAACAGTACCCTGCGTTGGTTCAAATCCTTCCTTTCAAATCGGTCCCAGTATGTAGTTGCCTCAGGTCAACCTCCATCTAAAACCATCCCCCTCTCCTGTAGTGTCCCCCTCTCTATCTCCTACTCTGTTTGCTACTTATATTAATGACCTTCCACTTCGGATTCATCACTCCCAATACCATATCTATGCAGATGATTTCCAAATATATCTCTCCTTCCCACCCACCGACCTATTATCAGCCACAGAAAAACTTTATGAAGACTTGGATAGGATTTGTGACTGGGCAAGAGCTAACAAGTTAAATTTGAATGCCTGTTTCCCCTTGAAATCCGTAGGCTCCTAGTAACTTCCTTAATTTTTCTCCACCTTGACTATGGCTGTACGGTACATGGGGGCGTCTCTGGGGATCTCGAGGCAATATATTTGATTATAAAATATATATATATATATATTTGAGCAATAAAACGTTTGATAAATTGCTTTGTACGATTCATCTTCGGGATCCCAAGGGACGCCTTTTCTCGTTTTTATGCAGAGCTGAAGTGGCTTTATTCTTCCTACCGTCGTAAGTATTTCCTGGCATCCTTCCTCTTTCAAGTCATCCAATTCCACCGTTCTTGATATATCTCCGAGCTCCTTCAATTCAAGTCCTCTGTTCGTTCCCACAATACTCGTTCCCGTTCTTCTGATTTATACATAAGGGCCCACCGAACCACTGCTTTCGACAGATCGTTCATTATCCGATCCTCAACCCTAAGGAACTTCATCCCTCCCAACAACCGTCAATCCAAAACGAACTACCTCTAAAACCCGCCTGTTCAATCATTCCACCCAGTCCCCATAAAATTGTACATAGTTACTACTGCAAATATGTATATAAATTATTAGATCGTTCTTCATTATGTTTACTTCATGTTTATTTTCATTTTTTATTATTAACTAATTTAAATTAGAAAGTAACTTATAATTTCTTTTGTTATTTTTTTTTTATTTTGACTATTTCTTACTCTATATTTTGGTTTATGTATCTCTGAGGCTCCTTAGCCCACATTTTTGTCTTTCTGTATTATTCTAAAGGGACTCGTCCCAGAATAAATAAACCATTATATATATATATATATATATATATATATATATATATATATATATATATATATATATATATATATATATATATATATATGTTTGTGTGTGTGTGTGTTATATATACAAATCCTCCTTGTGCCTGTGCAAGAAGACAAACCGTTGAACTCGGAAGGTGTCACTCTTGACCAACATTGGGAGGCACTAGAGTCAGGGCTAAAACAAACAGCTAAGGAAGTAATAGGGATTCAGAAATAAAGAAAAGCCAAGAAATGGTTCACAGCAGCATGCAAAAAGGCAGTGGAGGAAAGAAGAAAAGTCCTCTGCTTACAAACTGATCAAGTTATGCTGGGAAAATACACAGCCGCCAGGAAAAAGACAAACAAAATAATAAGAACAGCCAAAAGAGAATTCCTCAAAGAAAGATTGCAAACTATTGAGGAAAACTGGCAGGCTGGAAATATATGCGAATTCTTCGCAGATATCAGGAAAGAAAGGGTAGGATATAAAGCGAGAAATACACAAATGCGAGCGAAAGATGGCAAATTGACGGCATCAAAAGATCCTAAGCATCTGGAAGGAACACTTCCAGCAGCTGCTTAATCAAGGGCACCTCACAAACGAAGATGACATGGACCATACGGAGGAAACCGACCTACTGGAGGTTGAAAAACCAGATATTCAGGATGTGGAAATAGCTATCGGCAGGCTTAAAAGAAGAAAGGCTTCAGGTATAGACAACCTACCACCAGAATTTTTCAAGGATGGGGGAAAAGAACTCAGAGCCAAGCTCTTAGATCTAATCCAGAAGATATGGGAGAAGGAACGGATACCAGAAGCATGGAACACAGGGTTGATCTGTACTATCCTCAAGAAAGGCTCCATGTATGAATGTGGCAATTACAGAGGCATAGCACTTCTCCCGGTCGCCTATAAAATAATGACTAATATTCTGCTAAATCGGATATATCCGTATTATGAAAACATAATAGGCGACCATCAAACAGCATTCAGGAGAGGGAGGAGTACGCTAGATCAGATATTCATCATGAACAACGATGGGAAGTTGATCAGGACGTACACGCATTATTTGTCGACTTCAAATCAGCCTATGACTCCGTTGATAGAAACGGTCTCTGGAAGATCATGACTGAGCTGACTCTATTAAAAGAAGCAGAGCAAATCGGACTACAGATCAATGTAGATAAAACAAAATACATGATAGTTAGCCGAAACATCAACCCTAATAACATGATCTGCGTGGATTCTAAGTCATTCCAGAAAGTAGAGAGATTCAAATACCTCGGCTCCACAATAACCTCAATAAATAATCAACTAACAGAGATAGATCAGTGAATAACAAGTGCGAACAGATCTTTCTTCTCTCTTTCAAAGGTACTGAAATCCATAAAAATCTCCAGAAATCTCAAAATAAGGGTGTACAACGCCGTGATTAAGCCAGTTCTGCTGTACGGTTGTGAAACCTGGGCTCTAACCGGCACATTAGAAGCCGAATTGAAGAATTGAGAGATTCGAAAGAAAAGTTCTAAGTAGGATAACAGGACCTATATGGGACCAGAACCTTGACACATGGAGGAGAAGGAACTATAAAGAACTGCTGATAGAAACGGGTCAGTCAATATCTCATGACATGAAGGCAAGGAGGTTAAGATGGACAGAGCATGTAGCTCGTAGTAATCCATCGGACGCCTCTACACGACAATGAATGCCAGAGTAGTACGCAACAGATTGTGTGGAAGGCCAACAACCAGATGGATAGATAGGATATACAAAGATACGGCTGAGCTTCATTCCGTAAACTGGAAAGCAGTAGCCCAAGATAGGAAGAGGTGGAGAAGGCTGGTTCAGGCGACCAAAGGTCTACATGGTCTGTAGAGCCAACCAAAAAAAAATATTTATATATTATTTTTCTGTTTAATTTATTTTTAATTATTGTACATAGAGTGTGAATGTGATCTCAGAACACTTATATAAACGTCACTTGAGACAGATTGTAATTTTTCTCAATAAATAAGTTCTAAATAAAAAAACTTTCAATGAACAGCTGATAGACCTTACGAGTAATTGCAAAACCATCAGTGCTTTTATACATGGTATTTGGAGAGAAATACAAATTTGCCTTTACTTGTTGACTTTCCCTGGTTTTACTTTGGTTAAGTATTTTGTCAATATCGAATTGAATAAAGAGATTGTTGTTATTCAGTTCATGTTATTTTGTACTCCACCTAAACTCAGTAAAATGCTAAACATAATATCACCATATTCTGGGAGTTAAAGGACCATGATAATAAAAATAAGAATAGGTATAGACTTTTTATTTTTATTTTAGCTCAGTGATTCAAATAAGTCATGAAAATCGTTAAATACATATTTACTGAAATATGAGATTAAAAATACCCTTGAATAACACTAAATTTTACATTTTTATAAAACTTCCTTGACTGTTAAAGTTGATAATCATTAATTAATGAAGAGAAAATTTATTATCATCCAAAGCAATCAAAATCTATAACATTCATGTATAAAGTACATACATAGCTCACGAATTACAAAAATAACCTGATAATAGGTTTATAAAATCAAAGAACAATATTTTAGAATATAAGTTACAACAAAAAATGTTCATCAATTAGTGTTTTTTTAGAAAAATTCTTTCTTCCTCCATATTTTCTTATTCTTGCTAAAATCTGAAACAAAATACCATAAGCAATACAATTTCCACATTATAAATTATAAGTTGAAGAAAATGGTTGCAGAATATTATAATTATATAATAGTAGATATCCACATTACAGCACAGGTCTTCGCAGCAATATGGCGGGATACCCATTTCCCGCCAAATATTCTAACCTATAAACACTCTTTACTCTATTTCGTTCAAAAATTCTAGCCTTTGGATATTGTTTTATTTACTTTAAAGAATGTTCTGAATAATAATAATGTGCAAACTAATTAGCGTGCTAGCGAAGATTAATACTGCATATTATTTAATACACTTATAGAATTTTATGGATTTGGACATCACGTGGAACGGTGTTTTTCTTTAAAATAATTTTATTAGTATAATAAATATAATATCGAAGTCTGAAGACTAGCCGAGGACCCCAATGGTCCAATGGAAGCCAGACCAGGTCTGATATACATACTTATATTTTTATAGGCTTATATCATACCCGTTAATAATAAAGAGTTCAAAAAGCTGTGGAAAATGACTGCGTACTACTTTGAAGCTTAAAATGGAAATCGAGACAACAATGAGCTGATTGAACTTAATAAGAAACAATAAAAATCACACATACGACATTATTTTTTACTTTCTTTGAGCGAAAATTAATACATACTAATTGTATATGTATTATATGTTGAAATTACTTGGTAGCCTTTAAGTAAATATTATGAAGTAAAATAGTGTAACAATGTATGATTCTTAATGCTATGGATATGGTTTACCATAGATTTTAATTTCAGAATAACTTTGACGGGGGTGCGGTCAAAATATAAAATACTAAACAAATAATAGTATATTAATTGCATTGTCCAACGTTGGACAACGCAATAAATATACTATTATATAATATAGTATTTGTCAGTCATCGTACTGTCTCCTGCAGTGCAAGATGGAATGCCCTGAAGAAGACCATAGGTCGAAACGTTGGATAATGCAATAAATATACTATTGCGTAATATAGTATTTAATATACTATTGCGTAATATAGTATTTAATATAATTACCGCACCCCCGACCAACTCCATATAAAAAAAAATATGATTCCTAATGATGCAAACTTTAATTATAGATAATAAATTTTAAAATGATTCAACAGGTTTGAAATGTTATTTGAGTTATTTTTTTAATTTTCTTACAAAAAAAAAAATGTATCTTAACTACCTTATTCTACCTTATTTAAGGTGTGTCATAGCACAGCTAAACAAAGGACTAACAAAGCTTGGTGTCTATAAAGACCTTAGGCTAAAATATATATAGCAATTGACAACAAGAAAGACAACCTAACTTAAAATAAAAGTAGAGAATTGGTTATTCCAAAACCATTAGATCTATTACTCAATGGTCTCAGTTTTTTAAATATATTGTAGAGAATATTATAGATCACCAATTTTCACTAAAAATTGTTAGAGAATGGTATATTTTAGAAAATTAAAAAACATGTTGATGTTCAGTACTTACCTCATCGAATAAAACTGTGATAGCCGCAGCAAGAAGAAAATCTTGTGAAAGAATTTCCACAAAAGAAAATACAACAAGATCAAATGTAAAAAGTCTAAATTCATTTCCATAGTATAGGACATTGTCAAATGAATGACCATTATCTGAAATCAACATCATCAGATCTATAATCCTATTTTTTTTTTAATAATAAATTTATTTATGTAAATAAAATAATAATTAACAGTAATTTTACATTAATATAATAGTCTGTAGGTCAGACCCCCTGTCGTTCATCCCTCCCCCCACATCGCTATAAATTGCATATCGTTATGTTCCTTGTAACTATTTATTTTTAAAAAGCCCATGTTCCCACTAAAAAACAGTGAACGCACTGCTCCAAAATGGCGTACAAAGATGGCGGACTGAAGACTTTGACTTGGGTTAGTTCTTTAGTCACTGAGAATCAGCATTTAGTTTAATTTTGTCACAATTTTCCAGTTTTAAAGCTGAATAGTCAGAGAATAATAAAACATGAAACAATATTTAAAAAACAGTTGGTTTAGGCAATAAAAAACACCAGCAAAGCCAAAATTAAAAAAAAAACTTTCAAGTTGAAAATCAAGCGTCGTTTGTAATTAAACAGCCAACAATAACAGGAAAAATCTTAAAGTAAAATATCTGCAGAATATATGTTTCTTTCTAAAACACTGATAACTTTTTAAAATATTTGAAGTAGTTTTGTGGAAAATGCACTTTATCGGCGGAGAAATGTTAATGAACTGAAATGAAAAAATAATTTTATTCTGGGACTACTGTCCCCTAAGAATAATAACAGAGTTACAAATTTATGGATCTTAGTCTGACATAATAAAAATACCAACTAATTTACTGTTAATTGTTATTTCCATTGTGCAATGGATTAAAATTAAACATTGTATAGATACAAGTAATTTTACATGTTAGGGGAAGTTTGAATGTGGAGTAGGTGTTGGAACAGGAGTTGTTTGAAGGAATTTGTGGATGAGGATTGGCGCATGTAGGTAGGAAGTAAGTTCCATAAGGAAGGAGCACGAATGACGAAGAATCTGCTGAAGGAGGAAGTTTTATGGGAGGGAATATATAAGTCTATAGGTTGAGACCTAGTATTGAGAGAGTAGATAGAGGAGCGTAGAGTAAGGAGTTAAAGGATGTAGGGAGGATTTTTGGTTCTGAAGACTTGGAAAAGGAAAACACCAAGGAGGAATTGTCGTCGGGAAGTAGGATAAAGCAACTTCAACTCGGTATACCAGAGTGAAACATGTGAACGCCTGGGAATCCGAAAATGTATCTTATAGAACAATTCATGAGTCTCTTTAGTCACATTTCCAGCCTGGCAGATAGCCCTCCATACACCTAACAGCGTAGTCGAAGTGGGGGAATACAAGGGAGGTTACAAGGAGCTGTCTGGTTTTTAGAGGAATACAATCACGGAATCTTAATAGTTTAAGGACTGGTGTAGGTGCCTATAGGCCTCTGCCACATCATTCAGTACCCATAAATGGCATAGTTATAGTGCTATAATAACGTTTTGGTACATATTATTGATTTTATTGACGAACAAATATTAATGCAATAATTAAATAGTCCAAAAAAATTACCTTTTTTTAACTATTATTTCCTTTATTCCACCCGGAGGTGGTTTAAGAATGCTTTTATTATAAAAATGATATAATTATAATAATATTTTTATATTGTTCTTTATTTCTTAATGATATTTAAAACTATATTAAATAAATACATCTAGTAAATTTGTACAAATGGATATAATGACGTGAAAACACCCAATGGTAGTACTCTAATAATTCTACATTAGGAGATCCCGGGGCGATCTTCTTTTCAGAAGCCTCGGAGGGTTATCAGGGATTGAAGTGGAAGCAAGCTTAGAAACGAGAAGGTTGGATGGTTCTGAAGTTTGTTATTGAGGGATGGGTATCTGGATTGGGCCAGGTAAGAAACATAAGTAACATTAAAGTCGTTGTAGATGATTTTATTTGTAACAAAGTAGTGAAAATTGAGATTTCAGATTGTAAGGATTGGATACAAGAGGAATTTGATCGTTTACTAGAGCCCCAAAGTTCGATCCCGTAAGTCCAAATAACCCTTATTATAGTAATATATATGAATCGTTTGTAAATAGCTGGAAGTTTAGAGCGTTTGTCTAGTAAGTGCTGAAGTAATCGGAAACGCCAAGCTGTTTCTTGTCGTTTCATTCTGGTATGAAAATTCCAAATTAGAAGTTTCCCCAGGTGGAGTCCTAGAAAACGGATTTGTTCAACAGGGATAAGCGGAGTATTGTTAAAAGGAACTGTAGGACAGGAAGTCATAGGTTTACGACGAAGGGTAAAGGTGATTTGGTGAGATTTATTGAAATTTATTTTAATTCTCCAGTTTTGACAACATTCTTCACGGTTTGTGATGTAATTTAATAAAACATACGTTGTCTTCCTGTATATTCCTTTATTTTTCACTTTTTCGCAACTGGTTTCGGTCTTTTATCAGACCTTCATCAGGCTAAGTAAAATAATAAAATTAGCAACAACAATAATAACTTTTTCAAATGATAATAAAACCCAATTTAACAATTTAAAATCCAATCCCAATAAATTAATAAATAAATAATATATAAAAAGGCAATCGTTTTTCAAATTGCATCAAATAATGGGTACACCATAGAAATTATTGAATAAATACTTAGGAAAATTGAAAGGCAAAAATTTTAATACGTCATTTATAACAGTCAACAATATAATAATATTAATGCTTTCAGAACAATTACATATATAGGTTCTACTTATAAATTACATATACTTATAAAATTAATAGTATTTTTAAAAAAGACAAAAAAATTGTGGCCCTTAAACCTCTTACTAGTTTAAAAAACATGTTCTCCAGGACTAAACATGGAGTTGATCCTTTAAATAAGAGTGGGGTCTACTCGATAGAATGTTCATGTTCTGCCGTTTATATCGAGCAGGCGGAAAGAAAACTATCAAAGAACACCTCCCAGGTTACGGCCATGTATCACATTTTAAAGATCATTTTTTAAATTGTTTACATCCACAAAAAAGTAATAAGGTCAAACTGTTGCATGCCATTTCAAAAGGGAAAAGAATGAACTTTTTTGAAAAATTATAAATTAATAAAAATATAAAAAATGACATAATTTGCCTGAATGTATAAAATATTCTATTTGAAGATTCTGCACTCATAAAATATTTTTTTATTTAATTGATTTAATGGAATTTACAACTGTATAAACAACACAACTAGTAAAAATGCACACATTAGAAATAATGATATGAACAGACTTGAAGAGATACTGCCCAGTGGTAGTACTCCCTATTTAATTCTAGGTGAGAAGATCACGAGACCATCTTCTTTTCAGACGCCTAGGGGGATTGTCAGGAATCGAGGATGAAGCAAGGCTGGAAACAAGTGGATTCGGATGGAACTGGAGTTTATCATGAAAGGATAGGTACCTGACTCGGGCTAAATCAGCGGCATATGGAACATTAAGGTCTTTGTGAATGGTTTTATTTGTGACAAAATATGGGGCATTAAGGATTTTAAAAGAATTTTGGACTGTAAGGCTCGATACGATAGGAATTCGATGGTTTGGTAGAGCCCCAAAGCTGAACTCCGTATGTCCATATAGGTCTTATTATGGTTAAGTAGATGAGTCTATTGTAATTAATTGAAAGTTTAGAGCGTTTGTCTAGTAAGTGTTGGAGCAGTCGGAAACGTCGAGCAGTTTCTTGTCGTTTCAGTCTAGAGTCTGCGGATTTCAAGAGAGACGTTTATCCAAGTGGAGTCCTAGGTAGCGGATTTTACAACTGGAAAAAGTGGAATATCATTGAAGGATATTGTAGGACAAGAAGTTGTAGGTTTACCACGAAGGGTAAAGGTAATTTGATGGGATTTAATAATAATAATAATAATAATAATCTTTTATTTATTCTGGGACGAATCCCTTATTGTGCGTATTGATATATTGTCTCATTACATCTTATTTTCATTATTTACATAAATTTAATTTTTTTTTTAATTATCTTATACGTAGTTAGTATATTTTGATAGATTTTATATTATCTCAAATTTTCTATTTACATCTATTAATTTCTTTATATAACTTCATATTACTATTCTCTGTTTTACATTTTATTCTATGATTATCTCACTTCCTTACAGCATACTAAGACATCATATTTTAGCAACTACGTCACTCCATTTATTATAGGCCTACAGTTACGTTTTTTTCATCCCATATATTCCATTACATTTCGTTATAATTCATTTTTCATTTCTTATGTTACCTTATTTCATTAGTAAATTGTTACGGTTATTATTTATTTCATAGTTCTCTGTTACTGTTATTATTTTATTCATGATTACCTAACTTTTTTACCGTTATTTTATATTTCCTTTAAGTTTATTCTACCTACTCTATTTTACTTTAAGTTTATTATACCTACTTTATTGTACTGTAAGTTTAATCTACCTACATTTTTTAGACTATACCTTTCACCTACATTTTATTATTTTATTTTCAATGTTACGGTATGAATGTACTCTCTGAACTCTATTATAAGTGTCCTTAACTGAGACAGATTGTAATATTTCTCAATAAAATGTTTAAAAAAAAAAACTTCAATGCTAATAGTTTCTCATGCCCATTGTTATCTGTTTTTTTCTTAGCTCTAATGAAGACATGGACTTTTGGGCCAAAACGTCGGCAAAAATAAAAATAAATACAATTTACTTTTTTTTCTGAACACTCTAACCAATCTTCTCTTTAATTATTCACTACAGTCAACCATCAATCCACAATTAATAGTTTGTTGTTTATTATGATAGTTGCATATGAGCCTTTCAATTGACAGAATGACTAACTCCAATTTCAACATTTTTGAGTAAGTCATTTTAGTTACATTTCTAGTTGGATGATTTATAATATCTGTACAGACAGTGAATAAGTTGATTCCATAATAGGTGATTGTAGTGTTGATATATATAATTTTCAATAAAGGTATTCCCCACTAGAAATATCACTAAAATTAACAATCAAAAATTTTGAAATTGGAGCTAGTCATTCTGTCAACTGAAAGGCCCATATATAAATTGTGCTTATTTAGTTCACCTATAGAGTTGTTCAATTATTTTAAGCCTGTAGGAGTTTAGTCAGTAAGGATTGGCAAATTTCATTAATTCTACTAAATAAATATTTTCAGTTTTAGTTAAACAAAAACACACCATCAATCAGAATTGTATAACCAATCATATCATTTTTTTTTTAATAAGTTAAAACAATATTTTCCTATCGAAAATCTCATTTATTTATTAATTAAAAAACATTAATATGGACAGGTATAAATAAAATTTCATTTTTTTTTTTTTTATGTTACATAATAAATATTTATAAACCAAGAATAATTAAAATTGTATAAATACCATTATACAGAGTCCCATTGTTTTTTACATCACACAGTTCAATATCCAAAAGAGCTTCAAAGAATGACTTTTCTCTCACTTCGTAGTCCAAATCTTTCAATGCCTTTTTCAAAACATGTAAAAAAGGTTATAATCATAAACAGTTGTCCTTTTTTAAGTTGTTTTTATTTATATGTGATTGTATTTTTCATGCAGAGAAATTTTTCTGATAATAAAATCTTAACTTTGAGAATGAAAAATCAAATATAATAGATATGTAAGCAGAAATGGTATAAAAACAATTAACTTTTACTCAAGTTCATGCTCTCTGTTTAGGGAACACATCAAAATTCCTATTTAAATTTAATTTGAATTAAATCAAGAAACCACAACACAGCTGTTATCTCGAACATACTGCATATATACCTCAGTTGTTAGTGTGATGCCGCAATTACTGAAGCGTAGACGCTCACGTAGCGTGACAAATGCACGATACTGGCCAGTCAGAAAATTCGTTATTCCACTGATTTGATGAAAATGGAGTAAAAAACTACATCGGCCGGCAAGGGGCCAAGAAAGGAAGGGAGAGAAGATGAACAGGAAGACTGGCAAATAGAAGAAAAGAGAAAATGCAAGTATCCCAACCCACCTATATTTAAGCTCCGTATAAAATTACATATAATAAAATAAAGCAATCAATTTTACCTATTCACTTCTTTAATCCATTAACTCCTCTAATTTTATAGTCCACAGCAATAAATTTTCACCAGCTCTTAAAGCAGAATTATTATGACAATATCCCTGACAGTCTTGGAAGGGATTGGCATAGTAAAGTAAACACTCTCTATGCCAGATGTAAATATCGTTTCCATGGAAGAATTTTATGTTCGATTGGAATAGCTTCTCATTCCAATTCAACATAAAATTAAGCCACAGAACATAAAAAAAGGATATAATGGGTGAACTTGTAGCAAAAATATCATCCTTCAGATCCCAATCCTTTGATACTTACATTACTTCTCTCTCTGTTCACGACAATTCCCTCTGGAAAACCACCAAAAAAATCCTAAAATCCCATTACATTTCTCACCCCTTCTTCGATGCGATGACTCCTGGGCAGCGTCTGATGAATACAAACCGGAGAAATTCGCCAGACACCTCTCCAGTACATTCACTCCTCAACCAGAATCCAATCCCACCCATACCACAACAGTAGAAGAATTCCTCTCTTCACCGAATCCACTCTCCTTACCACCTAACGCGGTTAATCTATTTGAGGTCAAACATCACTTACAAAAACTTCCTCTAAGTAAATCTCCTGGATACTACCTCCTAATCCCACAAATCCTTTGTCAACTTCCACCCAAAGCTATCATATTCCTTACATATAATTATAACTGCATCTTTGGAACTACCCATTTTCCTCTCCTATGGAAACATTCTACCATCGTCCTTTTCCTGAAACCAGGCAAACCTGCCAACAATACATCACCCTATAGACCAATTAGCCTACTCCCGATCCTATCAAAGATTTATAAAAAGATCCTACTGAAAATAATTCTACCCATAATAGAATCTCATAAAATTCCTACCCATCAATTCGTATTTCATTCCCAACATTCTAATGTCCAACAAGAACTCCGGGTGGTGGACCATATATCCTAAGCCCTAGAAACGAAGCAATACTGTTCGGGTTCATTTCTGGACATAGCATATATTTGACGGAGTATGGCACGCTGGACTGCTCTTCAAACTTATATTCCATCTACCGAAGTCCTTATATCTAGTACTCCGATCCTACCTCTCTGACCGCTCATTTCCAGTTCGCTTTGTTACTGAATTCTCCGATTGTCATTTAATTGAGGCGGAGTTCTGTAGGGCATCGTCATGGGTTCCATTCTTTTCACCGCAGATATTTCTGCCCGTCCTGATACCCTCCTGGCAACATTCGCTGATGATACCGCTATCCTTTCAAGCAACTCAGATCCTAAAACGACGTCATTAAACCTACAAATGTACATCTCCCTGGTTGAACACTGGTGTAAGAAATGGCGCATTAAGATAAACTAATCCAAATGTAAACACATAACCTTCACCCTTTGTCGTAAATCCTATCCACCAGTTTATTTTAAGACCATCCAGCTTCCTTTCTCAGATACAGTCCGGTACCTTGGCTTTCTCTTAGACCGACGACTAACGTGGAACCCTCATACTAGAATTAAAAGACAGGAACTAAACCGACGATACGGCCAAGTATACCGACTACTAAACAGAAAATCTAAACTTTCCATTGAAAACAAGTTACTGATCTACAAGACAATGCTGAAACCTATTTGGACTTACGGACTAGAACTGTGGGGAACAGTAAAATTGTCTAACATCAAGCGCATCCAATTCTTCCAGTCAAAAGTCCTTCAAACAATAGTCGATGCTCCTTTCTATGTAACCAACAAAACCCTACATCATGACTTCAACATCCCATTTGTCCTAGACCTTATCCCAGAAAAATTCTCCAAATTTCACCAGAACCTTATGTATCATCAAAATCCTCTTGCACAATCCCTATCAAGCACCACCTATCCCTTTAATCCTCCAAGAAGGTTGAAACGACAGTGGCCTTTTGTAGATTGTATATATTGGAGTCGTGGCAATGGCCAGATTCTCCACTCAAGTCCTCTCGATCAATTTCCGCTGGCTTTAGTACCACCAGTGATGCGTTGAGAGAGTAGCGCAGGGTTCTTCTGGTGTTCCATCGCCTGATTGTAAATAGTGTATATAGGTATGCGTGTGGTTTTTGCTTAGTTTTAATTTTCTTATTTTTAGGTGATTTTATTTATTTGTATACTTTTTGATTATTATTTATTGTTATTTTGCTTCTATTTTTTTACTATTTTTTCACCTCTTCTGTAAAATATTGTAATGTAAGAGATAAAAAATTGAATATTTTAGTAATCCGATAGAAAGTATAATATTGTACGCAATAAAATTGGATTAACCACTATTATATGGTTGCCTCTATATTACAGAGTTTTCAAGAATATTCCATGCAATAAAAAATAATAAACTAATAATAAACCCGCCAGGGGCAGTGAAGTGCGTCACTGTTCTGTCAGGGGGCTTAACGAATCCCTGGGTCCTGATGTTCATTACACCGCAGTATAACTGAACACTACAAACATACACTGACATAAGCACACCTATATTACACACCTTCTGGCTACCTTCTCTAAGAAAACATGACAGAAGGTTAAAAATGCAACCTATCCAACAAAATGGAGCTAAGAAGTCGCTAAATCGCCTAGGACGAATCTAGAGAAAGGGCTACTCTAGAGGGTTTGGATCAGCAGCCCAATTCATCGGCAGGCGGTGGAATTCACACATTTTTTTAATATTGGGATTAAATATCTATGAGGATTGTTGTTCAGTATATCTTTGCAATCATCCTCGTAATTTGTCTGGGTCACTTCAATTTCAGAAGATATTTTATGTTTCCAATAAGATTTCATACCTACCATTTTTTTTGTTTAAAATTTCCAAACTGATAAATCAGAAAGCAGAAAAAAATTAACTTTTAACCATTAAAGTAATAAGAATTAGTACAATACCATTAACAAAATGATTTTTATCAGCAATCATAAGATCAACAATTAATAAGCAACATAACTTGTTGAAATTTGAAACATGAAAGTGGAAAGAAGTATAAAGATATAAAAGCTTGAGATAATGTAATTAGTAATATTAAACTTACATGCTCTATGAACGCAGCTAAAAACCGATTTATTGTTACATAAGATTGCATTCCATAGTCTGTGTTAGGTAATTGACTCTTCCCCTCGTTGGTAAAACCAGTAATATGAAAGTTTGAAATCTAAAATAAAATGTATTTATTTAATAACCAAGAAATAATTTTAAAATATTCTATTCCAATTACTTGAAACCTTCTAAAATTGAGAAAAACTAATAAGGCTGTACATACCTTATTTTACTACAACCATTATTTATAATAATAATAATAATACTTTATTTATGCAGGGGCGATCCCTTTATAATAATACAAAAATACAGAAATGTGGGCTAAGGAGCCTCAGAGATAAATAATTACAAAGTATATAAACAGTCATAATAAAAATTATCAGCTACATTCTGACTTTAATCAGTTAATAATAGAAAAATATAAAACTTAAGTAAAAATAATTCAGAATGATCTAATAATTTATGTACATATTTGCAGTAATATCTGTTTAAAATTTTATGGGGACTGGATGAATAAAAAATTATTATACAGGTGGGATTTAAAGGTAAGTACATGGTTTTTCCAGGAAAGTGTTTGATCGAAGGTTATTCCAAGGTTTTTGATGGTGGGGTAAAATTTGATGGGATTATCATGCAGGAACAGAGTTGGAATATTAGGAACAGTTTTAAGGAGGTGATTGGAGCCTATTAAGATTGCCTTCGTCTTTCTCGCATTCATCTTCATCTTGTTAGTTCTCGCCCAGTCACAAATCCTATCCAAGTCTTCTTGTAGTTTCTCTGTGGCAGATAATAGGTCGGAGGCCGGGAAAGACAGGTATATTTGTAAATCATCTGCATAGGTAGGTATTGGGAGTGATGGATCATGAGAGGAAGGTCATTAATGTAAATAGCAAACAGAGTAGGGGATAGAGTGGAACCCTGAGAGACACGACAGGAGAGAGTGAGCGTCTTAGAAGGAGGTTGACCTGGGACAACTGCTTACTGGGATCGGTCTGAAAGTATCGGTACTTGATAAATGTAGGTAAACAGATAACGAGACTAAAGGTTAACAAATGAAGAAATTGAAAAAATTAATAAGATAACATGAGTTGTAATATCGTTAGGATAGATTTTTTAAATATATATATAACTCTATAAGAAAAATAATATTTTTAGAAGAGAACTTTATAATATAAGTATAAATGTAAACAAGATTACGATGATGAATAAAAAGGTTATAGTATAATAGAGGTTATACTATAACCTTTATTTTCATCATCAAAAACTTGTTTACATTTCTATTTTTATTTACCAACATTCTATATATAATACTTGATATTTTAACTACACTGTCACCCACTATATCTCTGATGTCATCTTATTATTTCTTTATCAGACAACTGTTTCTTATTTATTATCTACTTATGATTCATTTATTTTATTTTAATCATGTACCTTTTATATTTTGTATCTTTTGTAGCCCTGGTGAACACTAGCGGATCCAGGATTTCATTTGGGGGGGGGGCTTCAGCCCGGATGATTTTTTTTTCATATACATATAACGATAATAAATTTGAAAAAAAATAAAGAAATTAATTACCTATATGAAATGGTGTTTAAGTGGTTCTTGAAGTCCTATTAAATATAATTACACGAACAAGAATACTTTAAGAGATAGTTTTTAATATTTTTTTCTGTAAAACATGATTATATTTTACCATTTTGGGGGGGGGCTTCAGCCCGAAAGGCCCCCCCCCTTAGATCCGCCTGTGCTGGTGAAGACCTACAAAGTTGGTTAAAACGTCGGCGTAAAAAATAAAAATACAATTGTAAAAATTGAGTATTTATTTGATCGCACCCCCCCCCCTCCTACTCCCACCAACTCCTTCTCATTTAATTTAAATTGAATGAATAAGCAAACAGCACTGCTACCATCTCTTGGACAGACAGATATGCAGAGATGGAGTCTAGACATGGATTCATGCCAACTTAAGAAAGGAGACATAGCTGGCCAGCAATCAATTACCATCTTTAACATTTTTTATAGGAAGAAAAATGGAGTAGAAAGTCTAGAGGCCAAGCAACGGGGCCTGAGCCTTGGAAGAGAGAAGAGGAGAGAAAACTTTGAATGGCAAAAATAAGCAAGTACCTAGCGATGAATTTTCAGCTACCACTCACCTAATCCACCTCAACTACAATAGTTTATAATATGCAAATCAAAATTTATAAACATATTAACCAATGTTCTTATAGATTTGGCCCTAATATCTCACATTATAATAGATACCAAATATAGCAATCATATTTTACTTATAGTCATCAAATCATTTAATTATACAGTCCGTTTAACCCCACAGTTTACTTATAATTGAATTCTTTAGCAGTACATAGCAGTTAAATAAGAACCAGTTCCCTATACCAGAATTATTAGGTCAATATCTCTGACAGCCCTGGATGTGATTGGATTAATAAATTAAACAAAGACCTTATTCAAATATTAATCAAGTGAACATTAATTGATTATACTAATTAAATATTTAAATAGATTAGATATAAATTATATGCTATAACACAAACAACATAAGTATATTCAGAAATCTAACAAACACTAGCAACATATTACAAGAACAGATATTTAATATAGTAAAGTTAACATACATCATATAAACTTATTATATTATAAAAGAAATTTTGTATGAAAATTTTAAAACATTTGACCATTGAATTCTTTGACTGACAGAAATCAGCATCTCTATGCATGTTAAAAGAACAATTTGAGTTTTTTTATTTAAATATTCAATAATCTCTACTTTATTTTAACCACCTTATACTAAACTCTCCTGAAACTGAGCATAGCCATTAGCCAAAAAATGAACAATGTCCTCCCAGACGTTCAAATTACAAAGGGTACGGAGGCCATTTGCATGCTCTGCATACCTTCACTAATTAAGATATAACAAACAATTCCTCTCTCATTTTTAAATTCCAACTAATATCAGTTGTACTGTATTTATCATTTATATATGACAAACGCACATGATTAATTAAATACTCAATAAATTTTTTTTCCCTCAAGATTGACATATGGATTCATAAGCTAACAAATTCATGACCATGTTTTTCGAATCAGCTTAAGCCCAAACCATTACCATTTTGAATCCAATTTCCCATTTATTTCCAAGAGATCTCCAACATCACATTAAAAAAACACCTTCAAATTATTAAGAAGCCACTTTCATTTTTAACTGTTGGTTGCAAACATTCATCCGAAAATTTAACTCCGAACTGTTCCAACATACTGCCTCCTTCCATTATGGAACATTTTCAATTTTCACTAATTTGAATAAAAATTTGTTACGAGAAGGACTTGAATGGCGGGTACGGTCAAATAAATATTAAATTTTTAAAAAATAGTTATCCATTGATATCTTATTCTTATTTTAGCTTTACTAGATCATTATTTATTCAATTTTCAATTTCTTTATCTGTCAACACTCATTTCCTTTATCTGTTAACATACAGCTATCAAATGTAATCTTTACCAGTTTGTTATACTATCATTTCTTATCTTTTATCGCAATCTGTTTACTTTTAACTTACACGCTATATTCTCCTTTGTTTTCTATTTTTATTCATACTTATTTTCTATTTTTGTTTGTATCTTCTATATATATATATATATATATATATATATATATATATATATATATATATATATATATATAATACTTGATATTTTAACTACACTGTCACCCACTATATCTCTGATGTCATCTTATTATTTCTTTATCAGACAACTGTTTCTTATTTAATATCTACTTATAATTCATTTTTTATTTTCACCATGTACCTTTTATATTTTGTATCTTTTGTAGCCTGATGAAGACCTGCAAGTGGGTCGAAACGTCGAACAATTAAAAATACTATTTTTTAAAATTTAGTATTTATTTGACCGCACCTCCCGACCAACTCCTTCTCATATTATATCACGGTCAACCATCTCTACATCATTGAAAATTTGTTAAATTCTTCTTCCATCCAATTTTTATGTTCTTTGGCAAACTCACTTGTTTGTAGATTAAATAAAAATGTTTTTTATACTATCAACACAACCCGTAAGGATTAATGACAGGAGTTTCTTTCTAATCAAGGAGAATGAAAATTAGGGTCCTTATAGCATTGGCTATACTTCAGTAAATTCTCTGTTAGATTGTGCAAACAATAATTTTAAATGTTGTTCAGCTGCAGGATTATGTTTTTAGACGTTGGACGTTTTAATTATCCAGTATACATGGTTATTTACAAATTTTTGATGTCAAAATAAATTTCAGAAATATAATTTTTAACTTCTTTATTTCCCTGATTTATTCTGAATTTCCCTGATTGCAAGTCCTGGTTTATGCAAAATTATAATTTTATGTCAGTCAATAATATGATGTTTTCCTATTTCATGAAATAAAAGTAACATGAAATGGAAAACTAACATAAATTAATGAAATATGGAATGTTGAATTAAATTACCAAAAAAAAAAAATCACTCAACTTTTTAGAGTTAATACAACAGCTCATATGATAATGAAGTAGTAAAATTCAAACAATAAGGTAATATTATTCAGAGAATAAAAAAACTTCAACATAATAGATTGGTATTTTGCCTTATTTTTAATTGTAAATAAAGCTAATTTAAATGTAAAATTAGATGGCTGATTGTCATTTCATGAACAATTTTTAAAACTTGACAAGTTTCATTGATTAGTTAAGTTTAACATTTTTTTCTTCCACTACTACATAGTGAAGAAATATTTCTTCATAATGATCTATTTTTACTAAGTTCATTAAATTAGTCCTATGAAGAGCTAATAGAAGGTGTAAGCATAGTAAAACCTAATCAGACTATTTTCTGTCTTTTAAAATTTAGTGTGTCAAACAAGAATTACAATTAGATTTAAACAGCATAGAAAGTTGGTGTTGATATAGACGATATTCAAGCTAAAACCATTTATCCGTTGAAAATAAGTCCACTCACACATTGGTAAGAATATTTACCTACAGTAACAATTTATTAAACCTAAAAAATGCTTACATTAGGATTGAGGGATAATAGTGATCTGTAAATCAATCGTAATTTAGGAGGTATCAACATTTTGAATGTTTGCCGGTCAGAAGCTGGAAGTAAACCTCTATGCCCTACTAAATCTTCTTCTTCCCGGTGTAACTGGTGCTTCAATGTTGCCATATCTGTGTCTGAGAAACCATGTACAGATCTATTAAAAAACATTACATAGATTAGTCACATTTTAGACCTAATAACTTAGATAATTTAAATTTACAGTAAAATAATTAATTTACAGTAAAACTTATATAAAGCAACACATAAATAAGGAAGAAAATTATCATCTCTCTCTCTCTCTCTATTGTCTCCAAAATAACAAGTAGTAAAATAAATAAAAGAAAATAGTGAATAATAATTATGATACATTAATTATAAGTGTTTTTATGGGAACAGGGCAGGTCGGTGAGTAAGACACAGAGCTTCTATTTTGCTAGTCCCAGCTTCAAGTGTGGCTGAGATAGGCAATAATTTATACTGGTAAACCAGCAGTGGATCAACTCGAGAGTCGAGAGGACATCTGGGACACATCCCGTCTTTATAAAGTAGGTACTCTTAATTAATAATTAATTTATAATTTAGGGGGAAACCAAGTGGTTGAGCGGAATCTTGGTCTATGTAATTATTTAATAAATTCATAAATTATAGATAGATGGATAGAAAATAAATTTATTCTTGGACAAAGTCCTTCGAGAATAACAAAATCGTACAAAAAGAAAGGATTATTTTCTTTTTCGAATATTTTCAAAATTTTCGAATCTGAGTTTTCAACGAAAATACATGTTTTGTGGTCTCCTGAGTCCAAATAACCAAGTCCCGGAAAATGGTCTGTGTTTGTGTGTAACGAGTCTAGCTCAAAAACGAAAAGTCGTATGGAAGTGAAATTGCGCATTTGAGGTATGTACCTCAGATGTTACAGCAACTTTTTCGTCAAAATCTTCTAACCGGAATTGGCACTTTATATATCCGATGTTACACATTTTCACGATTTACTTGAAAACGGCTCCAACGATTTTGATCAAACTCGGTTTATCAGTGTATTATTAACTGGTCTTTAATATCATTTAGGTCTTATCCCCATTGATGTCACATTAAAGAGCTTAAATGCCCAATGTTCATACACGTCTTCCTCCAAAATACCTATAATATTGTTTATTTAAAAAAACAAAACTCTCTTTTATTAACAGTAAATATCAAAAATGGCTAAATATGAAGTTTGAAAGAATATGATAATTGGAAACTGGAGAAAAAAAGGAAAATGCTTATCCAGGTTGAAAATAAATCTTCGGAAATAACAGTCAGAAGGTATATGTATAATATATCGTTGGAAAGCAGAGAATTTTAGAAAAAATAATATCAAATAAATAAAGTTCTAGATGGTAACGGAGAGTGAGGAAAAAAATTGCAGAGTGGCGCCCTGCCCCTCCCCCCACGTGGGAGCTGGAAAAAATTTCCAAAAAAGAATCCAAACAGCAGATATTTAAAGAAAACGGGGAATATAGGGAAAATTCATCCTCATAGACGAAGAATATCTTAATGTAATACAAAAAAAATTATTACCGTGACCAGCGCTAGCGAATTCTGCCAGGGGGCGCGCCCTCCCATGGATGAGGGATGGTTAGGTTTTAAAAAAAAACACCTATTCAAAGAAAAGAGAAATATAGGAAAAATTCATCCTCTGAGACGAATTTTCTGTGATATAAAAAAAATTACTATCGTGACCAGTACTAGCGGATCCTGCCGGGGAAGCACCCCTCTCTCCCATGGATGCTTAGGGGAAAGTTCTAAAAATCAGCTATTTAAAGAAAGAAGAAATTTAGGAAAAATTCATTATCATTTACTAATTTCCTAATGTAATAAAAAAAAACTATAATGGTGACCAGCACTTGGGGGCACCTTCCCTTGGATGGTGGAAAAAATTAAAAAGGAAAAATTCATCCTCATAGACGAATTTCTAATGTAATATAAAAAAAAAAAAAGAAAAAAAAAAAGAATATTATCGCGACAAGCACTAACAAATTCTGCAAGGGGGCGACCCTCCCCCTGGACGGTGGACAAAAAAGTTCCAAAAAGCAGCTATTCACAGAAAATATTGATGTAGTTTTTGGGCCCCCGTGAGATGCGAAGGCTTGTGCTCCTGTCGCAGCTTGTTCCTATTGACTCCGAGCTGAAATACATGATGGAGGAAAATTTATTTTAAAAAATATGAACTTCATTTATTCTTTCGAATAACCTTTTATTCGAGCGCAAGAAAATACAGTTTTTTTCTCGGACCCAGTTTTTATTCAGTTCCAATAGACCTGGAGGCTTTGCAACCTCAAGCAATTATAGTCTCCTTGAAGAATCCACACGATTCATAATACAGGTCACAATAATAATTTGTACGTTTCCCATTAGAAAGTGTTGTTCCTTTCTTAAAATAACTGCAGTTGGGAACGTTTTCATGAAGGAAAGTACTAATTATTTGGTCTCCGATTTGATCGGAATCTGATTATGATCGGAACCAGATATTATTTACTGAGTTTTTTTTTCTTAAAGTACTCATTCCGAAGCTGCAGGGCCATTTATTGTAATATTTCTCAGATTTTGACCATGCCGGTAAAAATTAGCGTTCATTGACCATGGTTATCGATCATATCACTTAATCAAATTATTAAGTTTAGGTACTTGTTCAACACAGAATTTGACGTTCTTTGATTTCTCAAAGAATAATTTTTTCGCTTTGAAGCACTGTTTAGTAATAACACATGAAAAAAAAGATCAGATGAATCTGGATTTTTTGGCTGCAAAAGTTTTCTCTTGGTGACCCGTGTCAGCAATTCAGTTTTTTACATGTCTAGACACATATGCAGAGGATCTCGTAAGTAGAGGGAAATATTAAAAGGAGTGATAGCCGAACTGAATAAATACAAAAAAGTTTATATAAACAATGGTTCGATTTTCAGCAGAAAAGTAAGGAATTAAAGTTTTGTTATTTTTTAAGTAAGCCACGGTTTTTGTTGTTGTTTTAATTTACGTGATTAACGATTGTTTCACTGTAAACTAGACAAAATTTACTTTAAATATAAATAGAGTTTGCTTTTGTTAAAACCATTTAAAGAGGACTTTTGAGCGGCTAAACTCAGGTAAGGAGTGGGGGAAGATGGGTACTGGTGGGGGAACGAATAGGGGTGGGGGATCACCTGATACAGAGTTGCGACCCTCCCCCCCCCATCCCTGAGAAAATTCCTGGAACCGCCACTATATATGAGCCTTTCTGTTGATAGAATGACTAACTCTAATTTCAACATTCGTTATTATTAATTTTATTGATGTTTCTTGTGGCAAAATATATACCTTTATTCGCAATTCTATATTTCAACACTGCAATCATCTATTCTGGAATAAACTTACTGTCTGTATATATGTAACTTTTCCAACTAGAAATATTGAAATTGGAGTTAGTCATTCTATTAACTATAAGGCTCAGATACTGAAGTTGTGTGATTTATAAAAGCAGAAGACTAGATTTTTATTGCCTACCGTCGATATAATAAATAGACCTTTTGTAATTTTAATGGTCTTAATGATTGTTACCTGTAAGCTTTCAGCTATAGCTCCGTTAAAATTGTACTTCAAAAATCTTATAATAGTACAACATTGCCAGAAAACAGTTTTTATTCAAAGTAGAGCGGTAAGTGAATTTTTTGTGTTGCGCGAACCAGATTTTTTTTTTTATAACTTGTTTCTTGAGAAATATTATGATCTGTCTCAATTAAGGACATTTTTAATAGTGTTCAAAGGGCACATTCACACTCTATGTACAGCAAATAAAAATAAATTAAACAGTAAAATAATTATTATAATGATAACTAAAACTAAATGTATACAAACAAAAACAAAACCAAACTAGTCAAAATAACAACTTAAATTCAAACATACTTGTACACAATATTTACAGATCTCATTCATTCAGGATAACTCAAAGCCAAGAGTCCCCCCCCCCTCCACTCATGGAAGAATAAACAGGACTGTAGGAGATTCCAGCATCTCTCACTCAGCCACAATATTAGTATTAAGAACGTAACTAGTAATCTATAAAAGTAAGAACTAGTATATCAGCAATTTGTTGTCAAATGAAAATTTAGATTTTCTGTTCAGTAGTCTACATAGCTGGCCAGATCGAAGGTTGAGTTCTTGTCTTTTTAGTCTAGTATCTGGGTTCCATATTAGTCTTCGGTTTAAGAGAAAGTCAAGATACCTGACCTTGTCTGAGTAAGGGAACTGGATGGAATTAAAGTGTACTGGTGTACAGGAATTGCGTCGGAGCGTAAAGGTAATATGTATGCATTTTGATTTATTTACTTCAATGCGTCTGTTTTGTGCAAAGCTATTGTGTCCGATTGCCGCGTTGGGCGAGTGATGGGAGCAGATCAGATAAGATCTGAAAGATAAGATTTAATCCGTACTAAAAGCAACAATTGCTCCGCAGACTGGAGGGCTCTCTCACTTAAGTATGATGTCTTTTCCAGCATAAAAGGGTAAGTCAATTTGCACAAATCATAACCTACCGCTTCATCAAAATACAGACCACTGCATAAATAAGTCGAATGTTGCCTATTTTGAACTCATTTGAGTTGTCTGCCTTGATTAAATTAAAATTGGAAAGTAGAGTAAACATTTTAGTCCACCGGACACGATTATATTTTTTTTTTGTTGCCATATTAGCGATATTTTGCAGTATGTAAAGGAGGAATATTGGTAGGTTATAAAAGTTTTTGTAAAGATCGTCTATTTCCGGGCTGATATTCGCATGTTGCCTATTAATTCGTTTTTTATAATTTATTTTATGTCGTTTCTTGCTTTGTTGCGTATTTGGGGGTGCCCGTGTAATAAAAATTGATTTTATTTTGTAGAAATCGTATATTTCCGGGCTAATATTCGTATATCGTCTATTAATTCGTTTTTTTTAATATATCTTATGTCGTATATCTAATATAACGTATATCTGAAATAATCCTGGAGAAGTTAAAGTTATACCAAATAACGAAAAAAATATATATCATTCACACTACATGTTGGTAAAATAAAATTGAGATTCATAGATTCTTCAGTATCTCATGGTCCAGTCTCTCATTTTGGACCTCTGCTTTCAATTTGGGTTTATAAATGCGT